GCCGAACTGCAGAACTGCAGTCAGCTGAAGTAGCCTGCAGTGCTCCATTTAACCACTGCGCCACCTCGGCTCTTATGTACATGCTGTATGCACAGGTATGATTTCAGCTTCTGCTTAATCAGAGCAAATATCTTCAGATTTCTAAACAAGATCAGTGCAGCAAAATCAGCATATAACTTACCCAAATAATTGTCATCATATATAGAAGGAGCCACTCCAGTTTGCTTTTCCTGAAATAGTTTCCTTAGAATATTCCTGAAGGAATAATCTTTGATAACATCTGCAATACTGCTGGTGATAACCTGACCTGAGATTCAAAAATATAATAATTGTCCTATAGGGCAACTAAAGAAATGCAGGCAGCAATTTTGTATCAGTTTATTATCCTGCCTTTATTACTTCATATGTAACTCAAGGTGACGTTCATACATAATACTCCTCCTATTTCCTGCCAACAGAACTGTAAAATTGATTGGATTGAGAGAATGACTCACCCAAAGTCACCCAGGAGTATTATTTTTAAATTTTATTTATTTATTATTAGATTTTATGTCAACTATCTTAATGATTCTGGGCAACCTAACAAAGATAGCATTTTAATGAAATAATTAATATTAATTGATATGAACTGTAAGGAAATGCAAAACAATTGCTTCATAGTCTAGAAAGAAAGTAAATATGAAAAGGGAAGTTTAGTTAAAGCTGCCTTAATATCTTGAGTAGAAGTGGAATGTGAATGCAATAAAAATATAGTTTGATCTTTTCATTTTTCTGTTGCCTCTAATTTAGAATTCCATAAAATGTTGAAACACAATTTTCAGAATTTTGAGCCAGCAAAGTTCAACCACCTACTGATTTAGCAATCTAACACGTGCAGGGATCCTTTGGGATGGAGAAAGATACATTACTGAAATAAGAATTTCTTGAAAATAAAAGACACTAATGTATTTCCTGCAATTAAGAAAACAAAATGTAAGCACGCATCCAGCTCTAGGCAAACAATATAATTCCAAGCCAGTGTCATCGTGTTGTTCTAAAGTTCAAGTACTTTAGAAAGCTCCTTTTTTTAATCAAAGATGTATCTACCAATGTCTTGCCAATTAACCTTCTACTTCCTGTAAGCAAGAGTAATTATAGCATGAACTATATAGTAGGAGTGAGTTGTACTACATAGATACCCAAATTTATTTTGGATTTTCTGCAGCTCATGGATCTGTTGAGAACACTGAAGTTGGATGGATCCCAAAATCCTCAAAGAGAACTAAGAAATTTACAGAAGAAAAGACAAAGAACAAGCAGTTTATAGATGTAATGAGAGCAAGGCCATAAAAAAAGAACTGAGTGAAGCTATGGAAACTCAATTTGTTTAGATTCAGTCCTTCTTCTCCTCTCTTATACATTTAATTTTTTGACTTAATGATTATTTTTTACACTGTATAGACTAATGCTTGCCCTAGAAAAGAATAGTATAATTGGAAGGTATGACCCCAACAGATGTTGGAAAATAAAAAGATTATAGAAGAATGAAAAAATGTTGAATGGAAGTAATAAGAACTGCAGGGTGAAAGTGTAGCAACTCCTTCCCTACATTATCTTGATATAAGAAGATAATATATGAATGTTATGAATCTGAAAAGGTACATAGGAGCAAAAGATAATACATTTGTTTGCAAGTCTAAATAATGTATATGGACATGTAAACAATATCAAGTCTTGATTCAAGTAGGGTTGGTAACATTTTAGTTTGAAGCCCTGGAAGGCAACTTATATGCAATGTCAATTTTTTTAAGGGGTTGATTTAGAACAATTTCTATTTCTTAAGTTCACCAGCTGCTAGCAGATGGGACTGGAACTGCCAATATTGGAAGTACATAAAAGAAAGGCGCTATAGACAGTGATAATCACCTATTTAGAGTGGTCATTCACAAAACAGTTGAGGTGATAGAGACATTTTTGAATTGGAGAGCTGATAGACCCATACAGTACAATAATACCTTTTTTCTCTGTTTCAATATATGGATAACATAATGGAAAAGATGCATATACTGTTTATCTTGTCTACAACAGAGCAGAAGAAAGTACAATATTTTTTCAAGCCTTTTAGTAGTACAACATAAAATATTTCAATAAAATTTTATAATTCAAAGTATAATTTTGAATTAAGATCTTGTCAATTTACAGAGATATAAAATAATGGACCAAAACATGCCGTCCTTTGAGATTGATTCAGATGTAAGCCATGCATTGTGAGGCTGGAATTATTATACAGAAAGAATAGCAAATATTGATAAACATACCTTGCCAGTAAAAACTGCCAGGTCCTCCTAATATGAGTTCTCCATTCTGTACATAACACAGAAAACAGCAGCAATAACACAAAATTAATAATGTATACCAGATACTAAAATCAAATACATAATAATCATCCAAACAATTAATATTATTAATATTATAATTACAGTCAGAGGGAAAATATGAGAGATTCCTCACTGCTTGGCTGTTATTGAATAATATAACCAAATCTCGGGCTGCCCATACTTGCTGGAAAATCAAATCCCTTGCTTTTTCTCGCTGGAAATTCTGAGAGACATAGTTGATGCACAATTCTAGATATCTACGCTATAGTATAGATGTTATTGCAATTAGGGCCACTGCTGAAAAGGATATTTTTTTATATTTATTTGGGAAAGATAAAGAGATGTTGAATAAAACTGAATGCTGTAAAATTTAGTGTCCAAGAAAAAAAAAGGATTAAAGTAAAGTTATAAATATTGCAACAATATTGAAAAATGGCAAGGTATAGATGGCATAACTGCAGAAACTGCAGATAAATATACATTTGACACAGGGTTTGGTTTCTTCCAGCATTACTGCCAGTTCAATGTGCATGCAATTTGCGATTCGCCCGAACCGGTGTGAACGGGTAGCAACCTATCTCTGATTTGATGTATATTTAGCTTTGGAAAATTGCTTCATATGTGTATATAGACTGCTTCTAAACCTGACAATGGAAAGAATATCGGTGTTCAATACAAAATGCTAAGAAGGATACAAAAATTTCAGGGAGGGTATTGCTTTTCCATTTGAACCTGGAAAAGTATTTAGGGAATTCTGATCAAAATAGTAGTCAAGGTGACAAACTGATTGATTTACTAATCAAACTGATAGGCTTCTGCAATGCAAAGCAAGGGGAATAAGATATTTAAGAAGCATTGTGGTGACACAAGAAGTGAAAGGGTCAAAATAGAAATGGCAATATGGAGTGATTACAAAAAGACTGACCAGCGTGAAAGAATTAGATTTTGATGATTTCATCATATAGAATAGATATATATGCCTACAACTGCAAAATGAAAGAAGAATAAAAAAAGGAGATTATCTTTGGATGAGTTAATGAGATCTTCAAAAAGAAGAGGCAAGAAATTCAAAAGAAGAAAGGAATATATAAAGTAGCGCATAAACATGATGGAAGCAAGAACAGAAAGACATGGAGGGGTATAATGACTGTTATGAATTAATTAGATATGAATTAATATTAACATGTCTTTTCTCTTTCTCCTTTTCTCTCCCCCCCTCCATATGTTTTGGTCCTTTCTGTGATTTATGTATATATTTGTTTAAATTGTATGTAAATATATGTAAATATATTCCTAAATTGTTTTTATTAGTCAGATAATCCTATTGATACAAAAGAAGGTTACAAACTGAAATAATTACAACAAAAGTAACAGCTATTACTGCAACAATTGTACAACGCAGTCTACATTGGATTGCCCTTAAATAATACCTGGAAGCATCAATTAGAACAGAACATGGTAAGGTGGGAAGTTATGGATGCCAGCCAGTCATTTGGCATTATGTGACACTTCTGCTCTATGAGCTACATTGGCTACCACTGTATTTCTGGGTGCTAATCATGGTGTCAGTGGCTACTTTAAAGCTGCTTAAAGCCTGGCAGAGAGTCAATAGTTCCCCCTATAGTGTCTACTTGTTCTGTTGGATCTGACAGGAGAGACATGCTCCAGGTCTTTCTAGTATAGTTCAATCTGGTGGGACCCAAGAACTTTTTTTGTACTGTGGCTCATACCTTTTGAAATATCATTCCTCTGACACTAAGTTTGCCCTGACTCTGCTGACATTTTAGAAGGAACTAAAGGAAGGTACGGGAGTTTAAAAATATGATAGCTAAACAAACCAACAAATAAACTTGGTTTTGTCATATAGCCTAGGGCTCTGGCAGGGACAATGAGATTGTTTCATTATTTATTTGAATGCAGAATGTTATGTTTAATAGCAACATCCATCTAACACACGGTAATAAAAAATATATCCATCATGTCATCACAGTTTCACCTAGGACTGCTTCCAACCAACATTAGCTTGTAACTATAGGCTTCAATTTTGGCTCAGATTTGTAGCTAGGAATTGCAGTTATTTTTGTTTGTTTGTTTGTTTGAATGAGGACAATAAACATTAAGAAAATGTTGTTTTCACCAGTCCTGTCCCTGGCCTAAACTTCATTTAATATCACTGATGAGTAAGGACCTTGTCAACAAAACTGCCTTTTTATTAGGACTGTTAGTTAAATGCAGAATCTGTAACTGATTAATTTCATCCTTTAAGAAAACATATTCTCCCTTGGGGTGCAAGAAGAAAGTTGTACATTTTCCATTGTTCATTTGGATGCCTGCCTAGGATTAGTATAAGAACTGGATAGAAAGCCAGTTTTTAAGAGTCTTTCAATGAAACTTGAGTTTTTAGGAGTCTTGAGATTTTTGAGTCAATACAGTGTGGTTGTGTGTGTGTTATACAAATATTTTTGAGATGAAAAATGAAGAATTGCAAAAGAAAGTAAATATGAGAGTGAATGTGAAAATGATTAGAAAATCCATCAGCTAGCCAACCACTATGGATGCTCACCTTATAAAAATCTAAGCTGAATCCTGCTTGACAGTAACCTTGCCCCTCAGGATCTGGGTTGTCTGAAGGTATCAAAGAATGAACACTGAGTTAGTTTTATATTATAAATTGACTCAAATATAATCATAACTAATAAGGGAGGAGTTAACAAGCTTCAAATGCAAGCTTCAAATTTTTCTGCTAAAAATTGTTAGATGAATTCTAGATCCAAAATAAAATAAAAAAGTGACATTGAAAATGATAATGATAATACATGATCATCCAAAACAAAAACCAGTGTGTGAGTTTTGATTTTTTTAAAAACATGAATCTAAGCAACACATTTATATTTGAAGATGAAAATGAAATCCTTGGTTTGGTTTATTTCTACGTCAGTCTGAGCTGGAGAAAGGACCTTGACTGCAGTCCATCATAGCCAGAGAGTCTACAGAGGGTCCAGAACAGTCAAGATGACAGTTGCATGATTAAAGTACCACTTCTTTTTTAACTTTTTAAAATATAACATGCATATAAAATAGAGATAGTTGCTCTTTTGACTTTTTGAGCATCTTCTGCCTCTATACATCCTGATATAAAGAACTGACATTCGTTTATGATAAACATCTTCAAGAGTGCACTGAAGAATAACAATTAGAAGACTTGCAGGAATTGTGCAATGTTTTGTTAATTTGGGGGTTTTCCATTCCATGCTTTATAACTCCCTTGTTCATGAACATAATTATCTTTATTCAAGGTTAAGGAGTTAACGTTAGTTCTACAAAAAGAGATAGAGAGGCGGATGTCTGTATCTCTAGCAATCAGCAGGTTTTAAAATTTGGCTTCTGCTTATCAAGGTCTGTTGACCATATTGAAAGTTTTTTTAAATTAAGACAGAGTTGACTTATTAGCAAGCACCACCATTATTCTTTTAATGAAACATATGTCTCTTTATAACCAAGAGCTTTGGACTCAGAACTACATGCCTAGCTTGAATGTATGAAAACCATACATGTTTTACGAAGTTCAATTTTTACTACTCAAAGAACTTACTGTTGCGACAAGGAGAATATTCTACATAGGTAGTAAAATTCTGAATAGCAACATAGCAGGTGCCCACTGGGTCCTTTTCAGAAGTAGCCTTCAGAGTCCTCCAATGATATAAGGGAGCACAAGCCTATCAAAATATGAGTTGCACAACAAAACATGTTTAGATGTTTGGATTAGGTTTACATTACAGTAATTTGTGTAGTTACAAATTAGTAATTTATGTAGTAATTTGTGTAAAAATGCAGATATATTCTTTATAAAACCAGATTTATTGCTTTCTGAAGTATTGACACTGCTAGACTGACTTTGATTTTCAGCAATATGTATATCTCCACATATACTGCTCTTTTTCATGCTCTGTCCTATCCTTCATTCATGTTTAGGAGCAACTTTCCTTTAGTTAGCTGAGTTAGCTGCACCTAGGTACACCCACGTCACACCTATCCTCTGTGAGCTGCACTGGCTACCATTAGTCTCCGAATCCGCTTGGTGCTGGTCGCTACCTATAAAGCCCTACATGGCATCGGACCTGGGTACCTGAGAGACCGCCTCCTGCTGATTACCTCCCTCAGACCGATAAGATCTCACAGATTAGGTCTCCTCCGGATTCCATCTGCCAGCCAATGTCGGCTGGCGACTCCCCGGGGAAGAGCCTTCTCTGTTGCAGCTCCAGCCCTCTGGAATGACCTCCCCATGGAGATCCGGACCCTTACTACCCTCATGGCCTTCTGCAAAGCCACCAAGTCCTGGCTGCTCCAGCAGGCTGAGGGGCTTGTGAAACATCCAGCCCCATGGAAATTGTGAATGTCCGTCTTTTTTAAAGTGTTGTCTTTCTCTATTTATCCCCTTTCCCTTGTCTATTGTGAGCCGCCTGGAGTCCTCCGGGAGTGGGCGGCATACAAGACAAATAAAATGAAAAATGAAATGAAAGTTAATTGAGAGGATCTCTCGTAAATTCTCATTTGTTAATTGAAGTAATCTGAATAGTTATTTTTTTTTAAAAAAAGTTAGCGGGCTAGAGTTAGGAAAAAAATTGCCTGAACCTCAAAGAGGTGTTCTAATCTATATGCATTCACTTGCTAGATTTATATCCCATCTTTATCCTGGAGTTCAAGAGGTATACAATTTGCCCTTGTGGAAATTTCCCTATGGACTAAAACCAAAATACAAAATTCTGTGATCACATGACCACTGGCTGTGAAGGTTTTTATTGGTTTCTGGCATTTATTTCTGGTTTCCTGCAAAAATTACCCAAGAAGAACATAGATTTACTTAATGACCATGATTTTAATTTAAGAGTGAGATGCTTATTTAACAATTGAGGTATTTATTAACTGGCTGTACTAAACAATGCCATTATTTAGAATACTGTCAAGTGATACCTCATTTTGTGATGACAAAGATTTATGAAGTTAATTCCAGGCTGAAATGTGATTGTTAAGTTCAGTATTATCTATATTACTGTTGTAAAATGTTACAGTGCCACTCTCTAAGATCATATCAGGGGCTTAGCAACTAGATCACATTTATAGTTGATTAAAGTGTCCCATGGTCATGTGACTGCAATTTGTGACATTTTCCCCAGTTTCCAGCAAGATTACCCATTCCAGACAAAAGTTTGAACTTATGATCATGTGATTCATTTAATTACTACCATTAAAGTGGTCATGTGACTTCCCTAGAAAATATAGTGTGCTTTCCTAGTTGTCTGTCTGTTTATCTATCTGAGTGGCTAATGGAATATTGAAATAAATATTCAAATGAAATAATGAAATATCCTTTTATACTCAAAAAAATCTAATAAACATTACATATCACTGATCAAGAGAGTTTACAAATAGCTATCTATCCATCTACTGTTATCATTACCAGCAAATTTCTTCAGCAATCCCACTGCCTTTTTTTAGTTTTACTTTTTCTAACAAAGGGCAAATAGTGCATTACAGCTGGATATATTGTCCAGTTAGGATTGCAAGTTTAAGTAATGTCCTTAAACCATATATTGGCGGGAAACCAGATTAACTAGGTAGTTTATTTCTTGGGTGTGAATGTGGGTATTTATGTTGGATATATGACACTCTTTGTTGAAATGGAAGCAGTAGACAAGGGAGATGGCTACCCTTTAGAATGTCACTTATGGACTAGGCACCCTGTAGGTGGCTTGCAATTTTTCTTTAAGAGTTGGCTCTTATTTTGGGAGTGACTAGATTCTGACCCTTTCTTTGGACATTTCATATTTCCCTGTTTTATCTTTTTTTTTATACCATTTATTTCAAGCTAGTTTTAGAATATTACACTGCAATTGATGTAATTTTTGTTTCAAAAGGGAGCAAATGGATACTTGATTTATAGCAGTTAAAGACAAAAGAAAATTAATACGGACAAAAAGGTGTTTAGAATATCATCTACTGGTATGATACACAAAACATATGTAATAAAAGTATCATAAGTCTCCAATTCTCAATCAAATCAGAAATTCTTACTACTCAGGAAAAAAGGCCCCTATAATAACAACATCAACAATCTCTATAATTCTGCAAGAGATATACAACTAAGGATAATGCTTTGGAAGAAAATGCTCCTTTGTCATCTAGCAAAAATTATTTTGTGACATTTTATGCATGCTTAGTTTTTGATACTCATTTTGTGTAAGAAAATCAATATTGCATTTCAAAAAGAGGAAGGATGGGAAGAAAAAAGGAAGACATGCAAAGAAAGGTAAATCAGTTTGGAATCTGAGAGCTGGGACTGCTTGAAGACTTGTGGGAATTTCCCATGCCAACAATATCTGTAACAAGATAGGGTGATGTTTTATTCATCACCTGCTTTATGTCAAAGTCCTTTTCTAGGGTTAACCACATGAGCAAACATTTCAAGCAAGGCATTTCCTTTAGATACACAATCTTATTTAGAAATAATTCAAACCATTTTGAAACAAATCCCCTAGACAACACTTGCTGGTTTATAATTGTTTGGGAAAATTAGGCATGACCAAATCCATGGTTCTAAACATGAAATGTTTTGTTGCCCTTTCTGAAGCTTTGCATCAAATCCTTCTACATTAGCTTCTAATATGAAATGCTTGGTAAGGCATTCCTTCCTTTGGTAAGGAAACCATCACAACTAACTTACAACTTAATGAAACTGCTCAAAAGAAAACAGATTATTTTGGGGTTTCAGCTGGGGATTTCCATTGAAGCATGTAGAAGAAGCTAACCGAGGATTTACGAAAGAAACTTCAGATTTAGAGCCATAACTCCATTGATTCTACTATAGTAGAGCATTGGTTCTACAACTGTGAGGAACATTCTCCAACTGAGGTAATGGTAAGGCAGGATTTATTGGATTAAAGCCGCAATAAGTCATAATTTATTAATTGCAATACTTAGATTCATACAACACATTTATTCAACTGACACAAAAGCTGCTTTCTAGACTCTCCAAGCATCTTACTAGTCAGACTACTTAGACCCGTGACCTGACAAATGCACACCCGACAAATGCACGCCGCCAAAACCGTGCCGCCAAAACCGTGCCGCGACTAAACAAACAACATAGTGGGACGCGAAAACAACGTTAGAGGTTAGGGCTAGGGTTAGGGTTATAACATTGTTTTCGCGTCCCACTATGTTGTTTACACTCAGGTTGTTGACCAGTAGTGGTCCATGGCCTGTTAAGAACCAGGCATGCAAACAGCAAGGGAGTGAGCATGCACAGGATCAAAGTTGCACGTGAAACCATCCCCTTTGGAAAAATTGTATTCCATGGAATCAGACCCTGGTGCCAAAAAAGGTTTTTAATTAATAACAATTATTTATATATCTTGGATTCAGGATGAAATTTATTATTTTATTCAGATTTTAAACATCTGTCTGCATCCCCTCTTGAAAATTTTCTGAGAAAACTCTGTTTATTTACTATCCACATTTAAAATATATTTTTATTGCATTTTATTTTTTCCAGAACAAGGATTCTACTTGGTTTTTCATTAGCAGGCAGGTGACTATACTTTAGAAACTAGAGGGGAGGTGGGGGCAAAGTACTCAGTAGGGGCCAAAATTATTTTAATTAATTTACATTCAGGGCCCAGTTTGGTGCAGTTGTTAAAACAACAAATGAAAAACCGTGAGAGTGTGAGAAAGCAATGGCCAACCACTTCCAAAAATATTGCCAGGAAAACTATAGGGATTTATCCAGGCAGTTGCCAGGAGTCAATGCTGACTTTAAAGCATAATATGTACACTCTCACACACACACAAAACTAAATTCAATTAAAGTAACTTAATGCAGATAATATATTACACTCCTATACTGAATCATTTTTCCTTCTCGTGGAATTTTTGGGGAGTGGAGGGAAGCTCCAGATCCCTTGAAATAAAAATAGCACATGTTTTCCCATCTCTTTCAAGTATAATTCCAAACCCAATACTAGGTGCATATATCAGAATAGTGATATAAAGGTTTTACAAAGACCTGACTGGAAATAGAAATAGATTTGTGAAACAAGCGAAATAATAACAGACACCAAAATCTCTGTCCATATTCCTGCTACAACACGAACTATGGATTACTGTGAGTTAAACACTAAAGAGGGCTCTAATATTAGAAATTACACTTTGGGAAGTCTTTGGAATGCTGTTTAACTTATTTTCAATATAGAATTTCTTGGAATGTGCTTTATTTTGGTTTTCCAAGTCTTCCATAAGTAAGTTTATCACAGATATTGCTCTGAAATAAATATTTATCAATTAACAACAATTTATTATTGACCTGCATTTCACAGCACTTAGGTTAATACAAAACTACACTAGGATAACAATTAATTTAGAATATTGATGTAATGGAAAGTAGGAATAACCTTGCGGAGGATTAACTGGAAATAAGATAGTGGTCAGACAAAAGAAATATGAATCTAAGGCAGAAAGACAATTTGAGAAAGCACTTGAAAACTGACTTTACACACTTCTTAAGAAGATAAAGTGTGTGTGAGAGAGAAATGTATTCAGAGTTGCAAGATTCTGTTAAAGGTAAAGATTCCCCTAGTACGTATGTGCTAGTCGTTCCCAGCTCTAGGGAGCAGTGCTCATCTCCGTTTCAAAGCCAAAGAGCCAGCGCTGTCTGAAGACATGTCTGTAGCCATGTGGCCAGCCTGATTAAACACCAAAGATGTACAGAGCGCTCTTACCTTCCCACCAAAGGTGTTTCCTATTTTTCTACTTGCATTTTTACATGCTGTCGAACTGCTAGGTTGGCAAAGGCTGGGACATGTAACGGGAGTTCACTCCGGAGATTCAAACCACTGAACTGCTGACCTTTCTGATCAGCAAGCTCAGCATTTTAGCCACTGAGCCCTTAAGATTCTATTACTGTAATCTTATAATAAAAGGTATATTAACACAGATAACTTTGGTTTCCTGGTCTGGTTTACTTTGAAGACTGACAATAGATAAAACCTATTCTAGGATATTCTTTAAAAATAAGTTCATCATTAAAATCACTTACTGCATGTGCACACATATACATGATACAAAATATCTAGATTGATAATTACCTCTATTTATTTATATTCCATTTATAGCCCATCACAATCCATTAAATTGAAACTATATTTAGAATAGGCTCTATAGAGTTGGGAACTGCTTTGGATATACACTATGGAGCAAGAAAAGGTATGCATATAATGTCTTTTTTTAAAACTAGGGGTGTCTTTATCCAGGATCAGACAACATCTGTAAAAGACAGCTAAACAATCTTGGAAAAAAGATGTAATTTCTTTATGGAGTTGTAGACAAGCACACACATGTGCCTTCACACATGAAGCACTAAGCCTAACCCTTATATTGACTAGGTCAAGACACTTTGGCTAATCTAATAAAGGCCAATACAGTAATGGAATTTGGAGTTGTTTTCTTTATGAATCAGTGTAACAATATTTTTAATAAACACATGCTCTTTCAATATATACAGTTCAAAAAACAAATATCTAAAAAAAAGATATAAAAACTTACTACAACATTTTCTTTATGAGTTCTGATTGTTGCTCCAAACCATTGATTTGATTTAAATTCTAGAGGTTCTCTTGTACTATTAACTTTGATTTTCCTGTTGTCTGTAAAAGAAAGAAAAACACATTTACCCGTGTTATTTTGGAAGGAGAGAGGAAGGGTATAATCAAGGTTACCTCATTTAAGTTGCTATTTATAATGGATACTGCCCAGGTATTTATTTATCCCAACCCTCCTTCTATGAACGTCGCCATAATAATGTTGGATTTTCCCCCTTACCAGAGGAAGCTCCTTTGTGGAGTACTGTGAAGCCATTACCATGACAATTCCACAGTGTTGTACAGTAGAATTATAATGCAGTACGGTAGAAGCTGTTTTAAGGTACAATAGGCTCTTAACAGAACGCACACACACGAGGGGTGTTAGGGTTGTCTTACCACCACAATATTTGTTTCCAGAGGGTAAGTAATCTGTGTACCAAGTTTGACTGTAATTGCTCAAGGCATTCCAGAGTTATGCTGGAACACACACACACACACACAAACAGAAAGAGAGAGAGAGAGAGAGAGAGAGAGAGAGAGAGAGATGTATATATGTATATATATGTATATATGTATATATGTATGTATGTGTATACACACACACACTAAATACACACACACACACACACACACAGAGAGAGAGAGAGAGATTGGATCTGAACTGACCGCACAGGAACTACTGAACGCTATTGTTATAGGATATGATAAAATCTTGAAAACCTGTCAGGCATCCTCTTTCTCATACTACAGAAAAATAAAGTGGGACACTCTTGAGTTTCTTCCTTACTTTTTCCTGCTTTCCAGTTGTAAGCTGTTTATATAGTAATTGTTGAATTCTTTCTTTAAGTTGATCTCTGATCTCCTTTATACTATTAAAACTCATAGGAGCCAATCCAATCACTGTATCCACTCAATATAAGGTAAAGGTTTCCACCTGCACATATGTCCTAGTCATTCCCAACTCTAGGGGACAATGCTCATCTCTGTTTCAAAGCTGAAAAGCCAGCACTGTCCAAAGACATCTCCATGGTCATGTGGCCGGCATGACTCAAAGCAGAAGGTGCACGGAATATTGTTACCTTCCCACCAAAGGTGTTTTTTATTTTTCTACTTGAATTTTTATATGCTTTCGAACTGCTAGGTTAGCAGAAGCTGGGACAAATAACGGGAGCTCACTCCATTATGCGGCACTAAGAATTCAAACTGCCAAACTGCCGACCCTTCTGATTGACAAGCTCAGCGTCTTAGCCACTGAGCCACCACATCTCTGCACTCAATATGACTACCCATAATTCATTTAATCACAGTTTACTCAATTAGAGGCCTTTGGGGTTTGCAGCATTGACCCACAACCTAACCACTTGGACTGGATTTTCACAACATACTAACCAAAAAGATGGTTCTCTAGATACAAACATAGATAATATTAATAAATATATATTGCTGAAAACATTAATATTTTCTTTCAAAATTGATTAAGATTCTACGGACTTTTTTCAGGATTTTGATTTCAATGATATGTCTATGTCATTTTCTTTTTCTTCATATTGAAGTAGTTTTCTCTCAGCTTCCTTCCAGGAAGTGTTTCAACTAGTCTATGGCCCTGATATTCCTTGGACGATTTTCATCAAACTTCTATTCTGCTTAGTATCTCAGCTCAAATAAGATTAGCCAAGTTCTGCCATCTGTTGAGACAAGGGACTATTTTTGTATCATTCATCCTTATTCTCTAAGATTTAAACTCAGCCCAGGTGTTTGGGGATACATAGAGAGAAGCAACAGCTGAACAACAATTCAGATTTAAGTCTTTCAAACATAAGAAAAGCCTTATCTGGTCATAGGAAAGCTGATATGTCCAACAAGATTCTATAATTTCATTTTTTTCTGGTGAATACACAACAGATTAATTTTTCCACCAAAAAGAGAATGAAGTTCAATTTACATTTTGTAACACATACCAAGTTCTACATTTTGGCATAGAAATACAAACTATATACTTAATTTCTCAAAGTTCACACATAATAAAAACAACAATCAATTGATACAACAATCAAGTTAATATTCCAGCGTCATGGATTGATATCTCTGACCAATGAGATGTGCGTTTTTAGTTTAGATATACTAAAATAATTGGGAAATTGATGTAAAACAACAACAGTAATGAACCCATGTAGATAGGAAATTCAAGATGCTACTTAATTGTGAATATAAACAAATAAATAAATAAATAAATAAATACATTTCTTAATATTTCCTCCTCTTTGTTATGAAGTGAGATTACACATTTTTATTTGACCAGCAGGAGCTTCTCAAACTCTGTTGTCCCATTCTGATTACTAGATACGTATCTTCATTTGGACCAGAACTACATGTGTATCATACAACCATAAGAAACAGCTCTGCAACACTGCTTTATATACATGCCATATCTGTCATCATAAGAAAAACCATCTGTGTAAAAACTCAGCCCAATTATAGTGTATTTCAGGTTGTAATAAAAAGCAGTCCTCTTTTCCTTTACCCTCAGTTCTCTGAAGTAAACTGATTTCCCATATGTTCCTAAGATGTTTTCCTTCTTCACTAGTCATCCTTAATGAACTTCTCTATTTATTCCCCAAAACAAAGACATACTCCTTGCCTTTCTTATCTGGGTAGCTCTGCCTGGTTTCTGCTTCTTATCAAGGAGTTCTCCAGATCTACTCATTATTTCAGTTAAATAAAAACAAAAACATATACACTGTGAAAGCAGGAATTTGAAGGGTCTTTTTTCCCCATGTCAAAGTATATTATCAGGATTAGAAAAATTGCAGAGAATTTGATTTGGTTTAATAGATATGCATTAAACACACAGTATATTTTAAGTAGAAAGTTCAAAAATGGCAATCACTGAACTAACTTGCTGCCCACTTCTGTCTCTCCCACAACCATGGCTCAGGTTTGCCATAGTAACATCCAGCATGACATGATTGTGTGCAGAAATCAAAATGGATTGGAACTGGTATAAAACAAGTCACAAAATTAAGGTTCTATAAAATTTGTACTGAAGGGAATTTCAACATTGCTCACAACCCAAGAGCATGGAGGGAAGATACCAGTAGGTAGGTAGGTAGGTAGGTAGGTAGGTAGGTAGGTAATAGATAGATAGATAGATAGATAGATAGATAGATAGATAGATAGATAGATAGATAGATAGATAGATAGATAGATAGATAGATAGACAGACAGACAGACAGACAGACAGACAATAATTAAATCAGTGAAGATACTTGCCCGTTTGTAAATTCGTCTGTCTGTCTGTCTGTCTGTCTATCTATCAATCAATCAATCATGCAGGGCCTCTCATTAAGAAGACACATAAATGCAGCAAATGTTAATTATTTAATTTGCACTTATTGCCAGTGCTTTGTCAACTTGTGAGAACTGCTATTAGGTCTCAATTGTCTAGTCAGCATTGTTGCCCATCATTGAAAGACAGCATCAATGCTCTAGCTTAGCTGCTGATGTATCAGGAAAATATTATTGGTCCTGCAACTTCTGCCATATCTTACTACCAGAAAGCTCCAAGATGGATGTCCATGTTTTCCTCTAGAAAGTCACGAACATAAACAATTTGAACCTGCAAACACCTTTATGGTATCATTTCCTTTCTTTCTTTTTTTCTGTTTTGTCTTCTTTGATCTCTCTAAGGCAGAATTTCTTAATTTCCCATTGTTAAAAAAAATATGAAACTTGTATTTTTATAGGTTATAGTCATCAATATTTACTTTATTAAAAATTAAAATTGATACATTCACTGAATATTGATTGAATCCTCTAAATTAACAATATAGAACATGTTAAATATAAACATAAAATATTTTTCATGAAAAAAACTATATTTTTTAAATCCATAAAAAATATAGAATGAGAATAATGTCATTGTTTTAAATTAATGCAAGTACAGGTAGTCTTCTACTTATGACCATAATTGAGCCCAAAATTTTTGTTGCCAACAAGACAGTTAAGTGAGCTTTGACCCTTTTTATGGCCTTTCTTCCCACAGTTGTTAAGTAAATCATTGCAGTTTTTAAGTTAGTAACAGGTTTGTTAAATGACTCTGGGTTTACTTTGCTTTTCAGAAGGTCGCAAAAGGTGATCACATGGCCACGGGACACTCCAGCCATCATAAATATGAATCAGTTGCCATGTCTCTGAATTTTGATTATGTGACCATGCAATGGTTGTAAGTATGAAAAATGGTTGAAGAAAGTTACCTTTTTCAGGGCTGTTGTAAACTTTGAAGAGCCATTAAACAAACTGTTCTAAGTCAAGGACTATCTATATCGATAATAATTTTGATTTTGCAGACCCCCTTAAAATAATCTTGGAGGTGGGGGCTGGTGTCCTTGAGCCACATGTTAAGAAACATTGCTTTAAGGAATCAGCAATAAACAACTTTTCTGAACTCGGGGGGAAAAAAAACCATTCCAATGGGATTCTCTTGAAATGAAACAAAATATAAATATGGTGATTTGTAAAAATTCCTCTTGATTATCCCCTCCCAGAAAAATCCGAGATGGGTTGTATAATAAGGAAGGGACCCATAAGACTGAACCAGTCCTTTTCTCTACTTTGATTCTGAGCTAACTCCTGCCTGGCGATAAACAACCACAGGAATAGGAGGTTCTTTCATTATAAGTAGGCCTTGTTAAGCAACCACAAGTGGTTAGCAACCACATCTCATTCTTTAAGCAACATAATTGATATGTGAAACCACAACTACACTTAGGATCTTTCTTCAGCTTTCCTTTAATTTGCAGACTGAAAACAATTTTTACAAAGTTGTTTTTTGTCACCATCATAACTGTGAACAGTTGCTAAACAAAGCAGCCACTAAACAAGGACTATCTGAACCATCCGTTTCTCACTTTTCCCTGGGGGTGTTAGGAGAAGATTGAAGAGGAAATTCTCATTCCCATCCCTGCTCTGGCTGAATACATAAAAGGAAACCAGACGAAAAACCTTTTGGAATCCATAGATCAGCCATGCTAGAAAGCCACTGGTCAACTCTACAATTTTTTAAA